TTACCGTGGAAATATACACTAATTTAGTTTGAAAATTCCTGGATTGTTTTATTGGATTCATTTATCTCAAGATTTGGTTGAGTTGCATGCCTTATTTATTTCCTTTTTAGAATTATCAATTACCTTTAGCCTATCATTAAGACCCAAGAACACCTTGACGAATTGGAACGAGAACTAACCAACATCAAATGGGACGTACTTGGCCTTTTCGGAACTCGTTTGCCAGGAGAGAATGCACAACCCCAAAATCCGGTCACAATATATTTCAAAAAAACTCAGATGAGAACAGTTACATAGGTGGAGTAGCACTCATGGGCCCTTATTCTCGAAACAAGGGCGCAGCGTTCTCATGAGAACGAAGCTACTGTCTTAGTCGCCTATAATTATATTTCCATAAAACTGATAAAGACAGAGCAATTGTTCTCGTAAGAACGTTGTTCCCCGGTTTCGAGAATAGACACCCTGATAAATAAAAGATTCCCCTACGAAATAACAGAATACTGTGCAAATTCTAACAGGGTGATAAACATTATGATCACTAGTAAAGATACAGCTTACAGATCATACACGGATTGCATCGACGGAAAATTCAAAGGAGGATCTGTGGGAGGAGAAGTTGAAATCTTTTATGAAGATTTGATAACGGCAAGAAGACAAGAAAAAACATAATTCATATAATAATCACAGGAGATTTCGAAGCAAAAATCGGAACAAAAGACCAGGGAGAGACACAACTGTTTGAACAACGAAAAACTTTTTTGCCTCAATACCTTCTTCAAAAAACCGAAATAACGTAAATGGCCTGGACCAGCTTGAAACAACTGAAAACAAAATAGATTATATTCTCGCCAATCGGAATAATATAGCATTACATAATTTTTTATACCGGAAGCGATCACAGATAAGTGAGCGAAGATCAAAATACACATGAGAACAGAACGCAGCAAACTCATCAAACAAACACGCTATAAACTACGTAAACCTTGACACAAAAACAAATCGAATATCAGAATGAATTAGAAAGAAGACTAACGAACTAGTCACTAAAATAAAAGAAATCATAAACCCATCAGTTAAAATAGTCTGCTCAAATTAAAAAAAAAAAAAACCCTCTAAACTCCAACCTAATTGCTTGAAACTTCTGAAAGGAAATAAGTAAAGCCATATAGTCCAAGAGCCGGCAATACTAACGGGTATGTGATCGTTGCAATGAATAATTTTTACATAAAACAATAGTTTATAGTAACCTTTAAACCAAATGGATGGGTGGCCTCGATTCTCATGGCCGTAAAGTTGTTTTATAAAAAGATACTTCAAGAACCATAAGCGCAACAAATAAGAAGTACCTTGCGGTGTAGGGGGTTCTCATCATATGCGGCAAACACTTAATTAACACAATTTCATGTTTCTTTTTTTGTCTAAAGACCTACATCTGTATGCAAAATCCTCTTCACAGAGTCCTCTTTTAACTTTGAAAGTGACTTTGTAGGCTGTCACTTTCAGAAATTTGTATTAAGCAAGCAAAATAACGCGTGTCCTCGACTTTCAATGAGGGTTGCCATCATTTCCGGCCATCAAAATCGAGGCCACCCTATATATTATTTGAGAAGACATATTGAAGAATATATTTACCAATTTTCAGCTATTGCAACGATAACATTGTTCCTTCGGAAAAAGAGGGGTAGTTTACGCCCAGCCATCAAAGGGTTGCGGCCATGAGAATCGAAGCCACCCATCCATTTAGTTTGAAGGTAACTATGAGCTATTCTTTTATGTGAAAATTATCCATTGCAACGATCACATACCCATTAATATTGCCGGCTCTCCTACTAATAGAAGAATTTTATGTCAAGCTATACTCGCCACACACCACACACAACAAAAACGAACTGAAAAAAAAAACTTGACATAGGTTTCGAAGAAATACCAGAAATAACGAACTCCGAAATAAGAAAGGCATTTAACCAATTGGAAAACAATAAATTCACGAGAGAGGATTAAATTACAGTCAAGATGCTGGAAATTGGTGACAGAAAAATAGAACATACACTCAAGATTCTATTTAGTAAAATAATTGAAGTAAAAATCCTACAAGATTACTATTACTTCGAAATTATCTGAATATTCAAGTATTGGAAACGACCAATATCTTTACTATCTTACCTTAGGCTCTACAACCTACTTACCAAAATAATTATGACCCACCGCATAACAAATAAACTCGACTTCTACTAACCTGGGTAACAGAAAACAGGTTGGATTCAGAAAACACTTAGCATCACAGATCATCTATACACTACAAGAACACTGATAGAGAAGTGCACCGAGTATAACGCACCGCTCCATGTGGAGGATAGGAGACACTATCTCGCCCAAACTGTTCACACTTATAAATATAAATATAAATATAAAGTATGCTTGAATCATCTCAGATTTGCTGATGACATAGTCCTAATACTGAAAAATAACTAAGACTTGAACGAAATGCTGAAAAAGCTAAATGACGTATCCGCAATTGTAGGCCTAAAATGAACTACAACAAAACAAAACAAAACTAACGAGTCAGGAACAGACAAATATAACAGTACAAAACCACAGGATAGAAAACGTCGAACACTATACGTATACATATACTTGAGTTATAATATCAGACTAGAGAACCCGAACCATAATGAAAAGAAGAACATAACTAGCATGAGCCGCTTTCGGTAAAATAACATACATCTTGGAAAATAAATCTATTCCCATAAAAAGTATACGACACTTGCATACTACCGGTGTTATGTACCATCGTCACCAAAAGCAGGGATGTGCCGTACACTATGAAATCTACTTTACGCGGTTTGTCTACTCGTTGTCTACGTATTGTTTACATCTACTTTTTTCCATATAGACTATGTAAACTATGTAGACAATGTAGACAACAGAAAATTTGAAATTTTGGTAATTTTTTTGAAATTTGCATTGCATTAAATTTATATTGCATCAAATTAGACATTATCTGCAGTTCAATTAACATTACAAAGCAAAAAACAAGACAAAGCAAAAACAGAAACGTAACCTTAAAGGCCTGCCAACTGTCAAAAATTGTATACTTTACGCGTAGTTTACATTGTCTACGCGTTGTTTACACCAGACGTAGACAATCTTTGTTTACGCGTAGATGCCCATCTCTGACCAAAAGTATCATTTCAATGCATTTAATTCATAGTTTGACACTAAAACTCATATAATAGTACCAGAGCTAATATAATGATGTCCCAGTTACTTTTGGTGACGATGGTACCTACCAATTAGAGACCGTGTTACTCGCCAAAAAATTCGCTAGAAAATTAAAAACCACCCAAAGAGCGATAAAAAGGAACATGCTTGGAACATCACTAAGAGACAAAATTAGAAACACCGAGAAAAGACGCAAAACGAAAGTCAGGGATATTGTGGAGGAGGTAGCAAAGATGGAATAGCTGGCTACATAGCCAAATATGATGACAGATGTACACGAAGAATCCTGGAATGGAGACCAAGGCAGACAACAAGGAGCACAGGAAGACCTCAAAAAAGATGGATGGATGACATAAGGACAGTGGTTAAGGTTGGCGAAGGATAGTGAAAGATGGAAACAATTAGGAGAGAGCTACAGCCAGGAGTGGATGGATAGAGGTTGAAAAAGAAGAGAAGAGAAGAAAAAGATATTTCAGTATGTAGTATAACATACCCAGGTTCGTTCAGTAAGATTGAACGATGAGAATTTTTATTACCTTTTAAACAAAAAATCTTCTGAGAAAAGAAATGAAAAACAAATAGTTTTACTGACTGGACATGCGCCCGACATAGCAAATATTAGGGAAATTTAAGGGAGGTTGTGACATGTAGAAGAAACGAAAAATTTGTGAAACGTCTACTTCTTTATTAAAGAAGATCGTACCGTTCTCACCCTGGAACTAACGAGGGGAAAAAGCACGGCAGAGAAACCCTCGATCTAACATTCCTCAAAAATCGAAACATACTGTGTCATTTTAATAATTGTGAGTCAATAAATCCATAATTTAAATCAATAAAAGTTTAAATTAGGTACCATCCTTTGTGCTAAAATTTCAATTACACACACTACATTCAATCAACACTACCTATATTCAATACTGAAGAGTTTTTTGGTTAGTTAGCCAGTTTCCCAGCAGGTACTGAGATCCCATACGGGAAGCTACTCAGCTATAGTTGTTTTTGAGCCAATATCTCTAGATTGATTATTTCAATGTGTTAGGATATTCACTCGTCAGGGTAGGAAAATGTTGGTAAATTCAACAAGGCCCTAATACACGTTCTGAATAAACACATTTGCCACCCTTCCCCAAAAAAAAAAAAACTTTCAATTTTTATATTAATTCATCAAAATTAAAATAAACAGTCCCAAAAATACTTTGAAGAGACCTAAAAAAGGGGCGTAGCACCCACAAGAAAAACTTCCTACAAATTTGCCCTCCTTCCTCAAAAAAAGATCCTGGCTACGCCAGTGAACAAAATAATAGGAACTTGCATAAATTGAACTCTCAAAAACAAAATAACATTTAAACCTCTAACCTGTGAACGCTCCTTACACACACACTAATTACAAATTGGATTGAACAATCAATTTTAATGCAAAATAAAAATGAAAATTGAATAATGAATAATTACAGACACGCGACACGTTTTCTAAGGGACCGTGCAATCCTAAACTTGAGGGCGCATGCATGGTTGCAACATTTCCTTTTATTCAGTAAAGGTTTTTTTAAAAAGTTAGGATTTCAAGAAATGATATTTTAAATAGGTGGTTTTTCTCAAGTTCAAATCTGGTTCTACAGCCCTACAACAAATTATACTATTTTCTAATTGCGTAGACGTTTTAAAATTTCTAGGTAAAACACACACTTTTAACATTAATCTCCATCTTTCATCTAATAATTATCACGGCTTTCCCTGAATTTGGTGTTTTATAGTTTGAATGAAATTTTCCCATACAAATGAGCAAATTTTTTAATTTTAGGCCCAATGAAGATAAACAAGGAAAGGATTCAGGAATCCATATCAAATCACCAATATCTGAAACAAGTCGCATCGAATCTATGAAACATCAAACTGCAATAATTGCTCAAGCAAAGAGTAAGTCAAACATAGATTCTGCATGTGGAGTATTCCGGGATGAAGTAAACATTGTATGCCAAAGTGAACCAAAATCAGGCATAGAAGATAATATCCAAAAACAGTTTGATGAAATTTCGAAAACCATAGAATCCATTCAATGCCTTTATTATGCGTCTGTTGAAACCTCACCGATGTTATTCAATAATGACCAGTCAGATAAAAACAAACATTTTCCTGGGATATTTAAAACTATTGAAAATTTGAAAGAGAGTGTCAGTAACATTAGGAAACCTGTAGAAACTGGTAAATTAGGATAATTCTTATATTTATATTTGTTATATGATAATTTAAGTTTTGTAGATGCTAGCCAGTCAGCTGGAAGAGAAAAACCTGTTTCAGCAACAAGTGCTGTTGCAAAAGAAACATCCAATAAAGCAAATAAAACGAGTCCTCAGAAGGAGGCATTTAGTTATCTTGCTAAACCTCAAACACCAAAAGCATCAATTCTCCAAGAAACGATTTCGAATATAAAACGTAAAAATTTGCTAAAACACAATGTTTTATATTTAAGAAAATCCAATTGTTGTGAACAAAATTTAGAAACTAAAACTAGTAACGAAGTTTTGGAGAAAATCTCGTCAGTTTGCATTGAACCTAAAGACAATTCTATAGCTAGTGAATCGAGCGCCTTCCAGAAACGGAAACAATATGATCGTAAATTACGCCGGAGAATGTTGAAGAAAAGTAATAAAATTTGCAGCAAATAGGATATTTATGATATAAAACCAAAGCATCATTTTCAGCCCTTAGATTTGATGAAATATCATTAAGGGTCTCAAGACAGTTTTACATGAGGTTGCGATTCTTGTTCAAATCTACTTTGCATTGGTTTCAAATTCAAGAAGCAAGCTGTGATATTAGTCATTATTTAAACAAAAATGATAATAATATTGTTAGATACCTACTTCAGTAGAAATTTTAGATTGATTTTTAGAGAAATATATATTTTTTGATGATGATAACTATATGAGAGAGGTGTTATTAATTACGAAGTTCTCCCTAAGCGGGGGGTGACAGGTACACCCAAAATTTTAAATGGAAAGGAGGTGATTTGATAGCTATTTTTATTAAGATTATATCCCCGGAGTTGCTACTATTTACCCTGCCGGAATGACGGCTTGTCAAACTTAGGAAAAATGCTCGACCCCCTTTCTATTTGTAATTTTGGTATTACTTACCTGTCAACCCCGCTTAGGGATTGACAGGGAGGGAAGTTTTTTGTGCTCCACCTTCTATATTGAGTTGCTCTAATAATATAAAGCCACCAAATATTCAAAAGATAAACTTCTCAGCAGTGATAACTTCTATTTTTGAATATAAAAATTGTAGCCTACAGTGTTTTAGATAAATCGATTTTTTTCTCCTGATTTGTTAAGAAAAATAAACTGGTCAAACACTAAGGTACACTTCGTGGCGTCCATAAATTTCGACGTGACCTTTATCCGTTACCAACAGACAGTTTCGCAAACAATATGTTGCAGTTAACTGGAAGTAAAACGAATTGGGCCTCTCTCCTCCACCAGCCAAGGTAAATACAAGATAATAAATGGCGAAAAGGGGATGTTTTATGGCCATCCGATGCCGTTGCGTCGATCCTAAATCGGTTTTAGTTTAAAGCCAAAATCGACAATTTATTATGAAGTTGGGATCTTTTGGAACTCTCCGATTCTGTGAAATAATTGTATTAGTTGGCTGAATGGATGAGATAATTTCAACATTTATGATTGGTTTTGTAGCAAAACGCCCTAGGTACTCTATATAATTGGTTAGATGGTAAATGGCGAGCGGTATATTGATGGTGTTTATTTCCTTGGAGCTGCTACCTATAAAATTGTGAAAGGGTCTATTCGCAAAAGAGAGAAACAAACTATTCAGGTTTACTAAATTATATTTTATTATACATAAAACCAAAAATTTAAATCAGCAAAATATCTTTCAATTTTGACAGCCTCATCTATTTTTCTAAATTCAATTATTTCACATCTGTTCAAATATCATTATTACGGACCGGGAAATATCCATACAAAAATAAGCCCTATTCCTACTATTCCTAATAACTTATAAGTTTATTCATTTCAACACTTCCGATTCATTCCTATTAAACTACCCTTCACCTAATTCTACACTGAAAAAAATTTTTCATTGTCATAGCTAATTTTTCTGCTGCCGTAGCCAAAAATTTTGGCTACATAGGGGACAGCCAAGATCTTTACTACCGCCGAAAAGATAACTTTACTGGCACCGTTTATTTGCGGTAGCAAAGTGACTTTATTATTATGTTCTGAATTTAAATAAAAGACTCACCTTGTTGTAGGTTATTTAATATAAATTCTGCAACTTTATGTGGGACCTTGTAGGAGACTTCACGAAGACCCATGCAAATACTAACTGACTGATTGTCACTTCAGACAACTTGTCTAGCACATGGTGGTTTCGATAATCTCAAACATAACATTTCCCTCTTTGTTGTTAAAGATTTAAACGTACTGGAGGTTTAACTATTCTACCTAAGCGTGTTCGTGTCATGGAGGAAGGTGAAACATTTTCAACTTCCCTTACAAAAGATGACTGAGGAGATTTATTATAATTTTGTATAGAACTAGTTAATACAGTTGGTGACACTGGCACAGACGTGGTCTGCGTCGTAGGCTTATCAATAAGATCATTATTTGGTGAATGAGCCTCTTGCAAATCGCTTGCACCAGAAAGTATTGACCTTACAGGTTCAACATTATTACAAGGTTGTTCATTTTCACAATCTACATTTAATTCCTTTGGCAACACAGATTCATAATTATTACTGGCACGCATGTCACCTGAATGCACAAACCTAATAATTTCATTCACTTTAATTAAATAGGTAGAATAACTGAGAACCTTCATCACTGTACCTTTTTGCCATAATTTTGTCTGTTTATTTTTTACAAACACTTGATCATTAAGCTTGAATAATATACGCTTACTTCCATTTGAAATTGTTTTTTGATTATTATCGCAAGAAGGTTTCAACAATTCGAATCTAGTCCTCGGTTTATTCTTAAAAATAATTTCAGCAGGTGCGATTCCTGTTACTGTAGAAGGCGTATTCCTATAAGTAAATAAAAAATTTTGCAACTTGCTTAGCATCAATTTTTCAGACAACTCTTCCCCTCTTTGAGAAAATAATGCTTTTTCTAACCCTTTTTTTACTGTTTGAACACTGCGCTCTGCTGCTCCATTACTTTGTGGGTGGTATGGGGAGGACTTGATCGGTTTAATACCATTTGTTTGGCAAAATGCCACAAAATCATTCGAGTTAAACGGTGGACCATTGTCTGAGACAAGTTCCACTGAAAGACCAAAAATTGCAAATATATCTTTTAATTTAGAAATTGTTTCAGAAGCAGCAGTACCATTGTTCATTAATTTTACATCCAACAATTTCGACTTTTGATCTACTAGTATCAGAAAAACAAATTTACTTTTGAAGAAAAAATCAATGTAAACCCTGTAAAAATTACGAGGCACTGAAGTCCAAGGCACTAGAGCACTATTTGAACTTGTGAAATTCTGACACTGCTGACAAATATCACAACAAGAAATATATTTTTCCTACGAGCGTGCGCAAAGTAGTACTTTTCCGCACGCATTTCGGTTCTCAAAGTTGCACTTTTCCGCACTCAGTGCGGATACAGGCCTTATCCGCACTGAGTGCCGAAAAGTAAAAATAATTGTCAAGCAACAATAAGTACACCTGTCGACTTTGACACATGATGACAAATTTTTCCTCTGTTCCTGTTCCAGCTAACATCTATACCTACAAACACCAAATTTAATTAACTTCAACACATTGTCAGATTTGTTTTCTATATATATGCATCTACAAACTTTCTCATCAAATTTATAGCATTTTCCATTTGTCGAAACAGGGCAAAAAAATGTATCCTTATCCTTACATGTTACATGCTTTTAGAAAAAGATGCGGATGCACTCAGTGCGGCACTGATGACAAATGGAAATCGCCATTAAACGCTTTAAGATGAAGAGCTCTGACGATGATTTTCTGTTATATTTTTTTTTTGTTATGTAATTTTTTGATAAATGCATAGGTTCCCTTCAAGTTAATTAAAAATAATTAAACAAATTATCGTTTTTTTTTTTAAATTTTTGTTGTTACCTACCTGATATGAAGCTCGTAGGAAAAATTTTGTTCCTAACACGTGCGCAAAGTGTCTTTTCCGCACGCAAACACGTATCCGAACTCCGCTTCGCGTCGTTCGTATAACTGTGTTTGCGTGCGGAAAAGTAACACTTTGCGCACTTGTTAGGAAAATAACTATTTCTACATCTAAATTCATACCCGGCCACCAGCAATAGGAACGTAAAAGCATCTTACTGCGAACAATTCCATTATGTTGCTCATGAAATAAATCTAAAACATTTTTTTGCAAAGATTTAGAGATAATAACTTTGTTCCCCAGTAAGAGACAGTTTTGCTCGATGGATAATTCATTGCTCTTTTTTTGAAGTACGGTTTTAAGTTTTCATCAAAAACTTGATTAGGCCAGCCTGACAGAATAAAATCTTTTACCTTAATAAGCAACAAATCCTTATCGACTTCTTTTGAAATGTCATTGGCATTCAATGGCATTTGATTAACTAAATTGAAAGAGTACAAAAAATCAGGAACATCAGTTTTGTCATTCAGTGGAAGTCTGGACAACCCGTCAGCATTACCAATAGACCTACCCTTTCTATATAATATGCCATATTGATATCCCGATAATGTGACAGCCCAACGAGTGACCCTAGCAGCTGCAGATGTTGGAATACCCTTGTTTTTTCCGAAAATGAATTGTAATGGTTGATGGTCAGTTACTAAAATGAATTTACGACCGTAAAGATATTTATGAAATTTTTTAAGAGCAAAAACAATGGCAAGGGCTTCACGCTCTAGATTACTATACTTTTTCTCAGTTTGAGACAAAGTACTGGACGCAAAAAGTACAGGTTTTTCCAAATTGTCTATTTTATGACTCAATACACAACCAATGCCATAGCTACTTGCATCACAAGTGACATAAATTGGTAAACTTGGATTGTAATACGTTAATACACTTTCTGAAGTAAGCCAAACCTTACTTTTTTCAAAGACATTGTCACATTCTTTTGACCAAGCTTTAGAGAATTCCATATTATTCTGACATAAATCGTATAAAGGCTTTAATTTTGAGGATAGCATTGGAATGAATTTACCGTAATAGTTTATCAATCCTAGGTATGATTTTAGTTCAGTTATTGTTTTAGGCGCAGGCGCCGACTTAATAGCAACAATTTTTTCTTCGGTAGGATGTATTCCAGTGCTATCAATTACATGTCCCAAAAACTCGACTTTGCTTTGGAAGAACTTACACTTCATGACATTTACTTTAACATTAAACTCTTGGAGGCGATTGAACACATTTTTTACATTTTCAAAACATTCACACAGAGGAGAACCAAAGATCAGAATATCATCAAGATAGCATTTCGTGTTTTTCAAGCCAGCCAGTATGCTATCCATCACAGATTGAAATATTCCTGGAGCAGAACTAACACCATAAGTCAATCTTGTGTAAGAATAAAGACCCAGATGAGTGTTTATTACCAGCATCTCTTGAGACTTTTTACTTGCTCTTAGTTGTTGATAAGCGCCCTTTAGATCAATAACTGTAAAATATTTGTGACCACTAAGGCAAGCAAAAATGTCATCTGACATGGGTAAGACACAATGGTCACTATCCAGAACTTGATTCAAAGTTTTTTTGAAATCTACACAAATGCGTATTTCATTAGATGACTTTTTAGGAACGACTACTATGGGGCTTGCCCAGTTACTGAAACTCACTTTCTTTAGAATACCTGATCTGACCATCTTACACAAATCTGACT